GCGCTTAGATTTTTTCTTCACAGACTGAGGTTTTCATTCTCTAAGAGGTAAGTGAAATCAACAGTTAAAACCGTATTGACCATTGGGGCACTTGGGCGGCTCAGTCGGTTAAGCGTCTGCCTTCCGCTCAGGTCATGATCTCAGGGTGCTGGGATCGAGCCCCATATCTGACTCCCTGCTCAGCGGGGAGCCTACTTCTCCCCCTCCCGCTCCCCCTTCTTGTGCTCGCTCTCTCTCTCTCTAATAAATAAAATCTTAAAAAAAAAACTGTATTGACCATTTTAGGAAAAACTAGTTCAATCATGTTTATAAAACTTTCCTATTATTCTATCAGTCATTGAAAGATTTTCTTATATGACTAAATTTGAAGAAGGTATTGTTTTTTAAAATATCACTACATTGTTAGAACGGTCTTCCCTTTTAGAAGACTGTATATTCTAACCCAGTGTTTTTACCATTGTCTGTGGCAAGAATCCCTTTAAGAACTGTTTTAGGGCACCTGGGTGGCTCAGATGGTTGGGCGTCTGCCTTCGGCTCAGGTCATGATCCCAGGGTCCTGGGATCGAGCCTGCTCGGTGGGGAGCCTGCTTCTTCCTCCTCCTCTACTGTTCCCCCTGCTTGTGTTCTCTCACTCTAGCTATCAAGTAAATAAATAAAATCTTTAAAAAAAAAAAAAAGAACTGTTTTAAAAGTTATGCATCTTCTCAGAGGAAAATGTAAATACACATAAATTTTATATATAATTTCAGGGGTTTATGGAACTCTTAAAATACCAAATTACTAAATTCTGGTCTAGCCTATCAATCACTGATGGCATTTTACATTAAACAACATACAGTTTTACCAACTGTTCTCACTTCAATAAATCTTCCTTCTTTGGACTGCTTAGCTCATTACAGTAACTACTGACCAGAAATTGCAACCTATCACTGCACAACAATTAGTGCTTACACTTTTTAAAATATAGTTTAAAATTTAAAATATTGGTTTTTTTGTTGATGGTAGTGATTTCCACTTTTGGTTTTTGTTTTGTGGATTTTTTTTTAAGATTTTATTTATTTATTCAAGGGAGAGAGCAAGAGACAGAACATGAGCTGAGGGGAAGGGGCAGAGGAAGAGGGAGAAGCAGATTCCTCGCTGAGCAAGGAGCCCAACATGACCTGAGCCAAAGGCAAACCCTTAGCCGACTGGGCCACTCAGGCACCCCTACTTTTGGTTTTTGAATCTAAGTACGTTTGATGGATAATTTTCCATTCTAATCAATATAATTAAAATGAAAGTCACTGGGAATAGAATGTATATTGACACACAAAAAATAGCAATAAATCACCACCTGAAATCATCAACTTGAAAAAAAATACCTTTTGATATTATAAAAATAAAAAATGTAGAATGCACTGCAAAATATTACCTATCTATATAAGGTATCAAATAACGGAGAAAAAAAAAACCTAAAAGCTTTATTGGAAGAAATAAAAATTGCCAAAGTAGAAAATAAGACATGCCTAAAAGAGCTAGGAAACCACACAGGAGAAATATTCCAAGGAGTTGTAATCGGTTAAAATAGTGCCAAATTATTCAGAGAAGTAGAGTTTGATGACCAACTAAACACCATCAGATCTGGTGTTTAAGATGTCACCAAAGCGGGGCACCTAGGTGGCTCAGTCAGTTAAGCATCTGCTCCTATCGTGGTCTTGAGGTCCTGGGATTGAGCCCCATACCAGGCTCCCTGCTCAGCAGGGAGTCCGCTTCTCCCTCTGCCCCTCCCCCCAGCTGGTGCTCTCTCTCTCTCAAATAAATAAAATCTTTTTTTAAAAAATGTCACCAGAGCATTTTCAGCAGGGTAAGTAAGGCAAAAGTGAGATAGCAAAGGATTAAGAGATCAGTGCATAGTGAGGATGTAAACAGTGAGGGCAGAGTATTCTGAAATCTCCAGAGGCAAAAGGCTAAAAGAGGACCTGTAAGTCAAGGGGATCATGAAGTCAAGGGGATCGCGATAAGATCTACAGAAGTTTCTGTGGGTCTGGTGACCCTGTGCTGGGCACTGGGGACACAGAATTATATGTCATATCTCCATCTCCTAGGAGTGTCTAGTCTAGTGAGAGAGAGCAATGCTAACCTAACAGGTAATTATAATTCTTCAATAATAGAGATCTGCACAGAGAATTCTGGGAAAACGGGAGGCACCTCGCACCTTCTTCCGTAGAACGAGGAGATGCCTCCTAGAAGGCGTAAAGAACAAGGAGTGATCAAACCAGAGAAAAGGGCATTCAAGTCAGACTGGACGTCACAAGCCATTGTGTGCAGCAACTGGTGTGGCTCGGGGTAAAGTGCACAGCTGGGAGTCTCCAGGGGTACTGCGATCTGCAGTAAATCAGTAAGTTAGCGCGTGAAATCACCCACCGGGAAAGATGCCAAGGGCGGCAGCTGTCAAGGCAAGCAAGACAAAAGGCATGGAAGCAAGGTGCCCAAAGGTCTCACCAAGATGAGTAAACACGGGCTGCAGACAAGAAACACCAACAGGGAGCCTGAGAAAATGCGGAGCCTGAGGGCCTGGACATTACATGAAGGTGAGGGAGATAGAATGTGGAGGTATGGAACGAGAAAGATCCATTCAAAGCAGAAAAGCCTGGAGTCTGGGTTCCTGGAAGAAAAGCAGCCGGAGTCACTGGAGCAAATGAGGCGGAGGAGTCTCGAGACCACTATGGGACAACAAGGTGAAGTCAGCTGGGGCAGTGCTGTGAGCACGCCTGGAAAGATTATAAACCACAGAGGCTCAGCTAGCAACAAAGGTGGACAGGAGCAGGAATAAGTCGAGAGCTTGAAGCCCCCATTTTACCTTGCAGCCTTGGCCAAGCCACCTGACTCTCCTGGGCCTCCCTTTTTGCACCAATAAAATTAATTGGCTGGACTAAATGCTCATTTCCACTCCCAAAAATTATATCGGACAGCTTTTAAATATGGAAATAATAGCTAGGGGGGCTGAGAAGGCGTTCATAAACTGGGTTGAAAAATTCTTATTGTTATTTCTTACCCAAAGTCATAAATGTTCCATTAGTAACTTTCTTCGGCATGAGACGTTAAAATTTGCAAAGACTTTTTACATATATTTTCTAATATAATCCTAACCACCCTTCTGCGGGAGCTCTGTAACCCCTATGTTATAGCTAAAGAAACTGCGATTCCACAAGGCTGAAGCAATTGTAGCCTTGGATTGGTAAAGTCAGTCTTGTTCTCCTAACATAGAGATTGTACTTGGATGCTTCAAAATAACCCTTCAAAATTCATTCCTTCAGCAAGTAACAGGTTGCCACTAGCTGCATTATAGCTAAAAAGGTCCTTCTAGGAATCCATCAGATTACCTGATCACTGAAATGAAACAAGGGATTGCTGAACTCTATTAAACTTTCATATAATGTTGAAAGAAAGCTTTGTAAATGAAAACAAATCGAAACAAGTCCATGTATACACTTACTTATAGGGTTTGGTATCAAATATGGCAGAAAAATAGCCTTACTCAAGCCATCTACTCTTACGTGACTGCTATAAGAACACTAAGACAGACCAAAACTTTTATTTTCAAAATAATGATTCTCTTCTCTTCAATCTTCTAAATAATAGTCAGGTCGCAAATTGTTAATTACCAGTTCATACCAACTACATACTAAAAGGACTAATCAAGAAAGCAAAAAAAATTCCTAGGTCCTCAAAAGGAAGAAATAAGCTTCAATTATTTATGAACTATCCTTTCCTTGTTAATTCACCCACTAAAAATTCATTTTATATTTTTATATTTAAATCCTTTTAAGGATATTATTTGCTTCCTTGGTGATTACAAAAGTTTCAAGTTTATTTTCTAAACTACAGGCAGTAGCTTCTTTTCTGCAAAATGTAGATCAGTTTAGATAAAGGCATTTACATACATATTTTCAAGTCAGCTAACACTTTACAAATTAATTCTTTAAACAGTTGATTGCAACAGATCTTATGTTATACAATGATTGACTAAAAAAAATATTTCTTTGGCATTCATTCATGACCATTTAGCATTTTCAGATCAATGGCAAAAATCTGTGAATTCATAAATACACACATATTTTACAGGAAATTCTCCACCATACACTGTCTTTTCTACCTAAGTTCAATAAAATTCAATCAAATCAAAAGATGATCATCAAGCAGCTAATATGTACAAGGCATAGTACTATGTCACACCAGTAACATTTTACCCAGCAGAAAGAATAAACAACCTGAGCATTGTAATTTAGCAGTCATCTTTAACAGCATGCTGTGTAGTATTTGACCTTCCAAGCTGAAATATTACATTTAAGATCCTCATTTAGAAAATTGGAAGAAAAAGAGAAATATTTCTTTCTATGTGATGAAATAAATTTACCAAAACCAGGAGTATACATACTGCTTTTCTTCATATATGTTTAGAGTTTAAGAGAAAAAAAAAACATGTAAAATCAAAAATATAGATGAATACTGAATGTATGACCCAAATTCTGTCATAACAGGTAAAGTCCCTCTTTTATCACTACTAGTTCATCAATTTCACTTGGCTGTTAACTCTACAAAGATGGCCTTCAAGAAATACGTAAAAATTTCAATCTTGATCAGTTAGGAAAAGCTCCAGAGCTCCTGCCATGCGGTGATGAGCCCCTTCATCACCTGGTTTCAGAAAAATCATCCTAGGAAGGAATTTGATAGACTCATTAAACAACAACCTGAAAGGACTTGTGCTTTCTTTCTTAGATCACTATTCCAATGACTTCATTCCAGCTCACATTTCAATTCATCCTGAAAAATGAAAGAGGTTAACCTGTCCTTTATGGCATACTCAGGTGGATCAGTTTCAACTTCTGGGTAAACCACTCATATAAATATCCAAAGATCAAGATTACCTAACTAAATGGTGTGTGCACAGCAATCCTAGTGGTCAGATTTCAAAGTTCCAGTTTTTAATACCAAAATATAAACATCACCATAATACTCACTTTTAGTTTCTTGTTTAGTTTACAGCAGTATCTGTACACCATTGCCAAGTTCAGAGGTCCAAAATCTGCATAAAAACTGAGATTGTTTAAAAAAAAAAGTAGTAGTTAGTAGAAATATAATTTCCAGTAACATCAATGCTCATTTTTATTTTCATTAAAATTGCAAACAAATTTTAGTTATTGTCAAGAATAAGGGTCAATATATATAGAATCCAAATAACTAATGGTTTTACCCTACTGAGGATCACCAGTTACTATAACCAATCTCCAGTCTCTTAACAGGCAACTGTTTGGACAGTTCGAGTTCTACCTCCTTCTATCTCCCTGCCAGGACATTCAGAAAAAGGACTGAAAAGCAGGCAACAAAAGAAGCAATGAGAACATAACATGTATGTTCCCTTCCTACTTTTATTTATCACCTACTCAGTCACCAATTCTAACTATTCCCCTCAAACATCGCTCTCAGTTCTCAAGGATCTTCAATCTAGTGGTCTTCTTTCAGTTTTCTTCTCCTTGAACTTTCCGCATCATGCGACACACTGGCCCTTCTCACTCTCCCCACCCCAGATGTCTCCAGGCTACAGTCAGCAGTCTGCAGCTCTCTCGCACCCACTATCATGAATTTCACGGATAACCTTGTGGAAGAGAGATTAGATGGCTTCCACACTTGAGACCCAGCATCAGCCTTTTCATCTTCAACCACCTGTGAACCTCACATCTACAGGTCCTTCCATTACCTGGAACTCAGAACATCTAAAACTCAACACATCTTTCCTTCAAATCAGCCCACCAGACCCAAAACATTTGCTTCTCCCAGTTACTCGGGCATGAAACCTTTCAGTCACAACAGAGCAAAAAATAAATATCAATTTAATTCTCGTATACCAGAAAAGGTACTACTCTTAAGTCATCCCTTGCTTTTCCATTCCAATGTTAGCAACAAAAGGGCAGAGAGTCTTCATCTCTCATTCTTACTGCTTAAATTCTCCGACTCCCTTGCCCAATCATCCTGTACGCCACTCCAAAGATTAATCTTCATAATATCTCACTTCTCACATATCTTCCCACCAGTCAAAAATGTTCAATGGCTCCTTACTCCCTTCAAAATAATTCCTTGGCCCAGCAATCAATGCCCTACACATCATGCCCCTCACTTCCAGGATGGCCTTATCTCCTAAAGGGCCCCATTTGGAATCTGCATTCCAACAACCATGTCCATTCCTCGTTCCCAAATACTCCATATGCATATTCTTAATCCAGGTCTCAGCTCACACTGGTCTCCTTGGCTGGAATGCCCTCCTTTTTCTCTTTCTGCTTCTCTCTAGCTTCCTCAAAATCCAGTTCAAATCCTACCTTTCTAGTCACCCTTAGGAAACACTACCCTTCTGTCAAAGTTCCCAAAACTTACCATCTGAGACACTATCACATATTGTGAATTATCTTTTTTTTTTTGCGTGTAGTTCCTACCTGCCCAACTACAGGGTAAGCCTCTCACCCTGGGGCTCTATCTTACACCGTATAGGCTTAGAAGAACATCCTGCTCATAATATAACACTTCAACGAACGAGTCCTCATTATGAATATTTTGCTCACTAATGTGCTCAGATTCAATTTAGCCTAGACCATAAATTTACTAAATATCAAGTTTCAAAAATTTACTAAATTATCAATAAGTTTCAAAAATCCATCCCCAAAAGAACTTTATTTTGAGGGAGTCATTTACTTTTTTTCTGCTACCTAAATTACAGTATCATAGATACATCATTACACTACATCAAATCTGCCAGGAGCCAGATTGGTAATATTTTGGAACTTATATCCTAGTTAACACCAAAATTAGCTGTCCTGATATACAGGCTTCATGAGAGAAAAAAGAGAGTTGCCAAAAAAGGAAACTTGCAATGATTTGAAATAAAAAGTTATTGATATACTTCTAAAGTTCCCAGTGTGATGCTGTGTTGTGAGTATAAACAAAATACCCATGAATTCAAAATGAACTATGTTTATTATACCTAATTACTGACCAGTCTTGGATGGTAAACAAGAATCCACTCAAAAGAATCAAAATGAAAAATATATAAAAATAAGCACCTACCAGCATGATTAAGGCAGCCCTGTTTCTATCACAGAGATTTCCTTGTCCTTGAGTTACTGGAAGTAACACTCTTAGCTAATATCCCCTGTTTTTTCCTACTCAAACATGAATGTTGACACTTGTAGAATGTTAAGGTAAATCTAGAATTTTTAGTTATGGTGATTTTATCAGCTTTTTAGATTCACTTTGAATAAATCTCAGGAAGGCACAAAGAATTTGAAGCATCTAATTCCAGTTTCATACTAACCATCAGAAACCAACTTTAGTTTCAAATTCAAAACTGTATAGTTTCTAACTGCACAGCCAGCTTAGCCACATGTACTTTTGGAAGCAACATGGTTACCAAATACACCTGTTTCACCAAACATCAGATAAGTAAACTGGTATACTCCAATAAGACAGGAAGAAGTACATCAAATACAGACCATGTCGTTAAGTTGATCTGTACTCTCCAACACGGTAGCCACTGGCCACCTGTGGC